TTGCAATTGTTTTTCAGTTAACACTTTGAATATATTTTCCCATTCTTTCCTTGCTTGCATTATTTCCTACTAGAGGTCTGATGTTAGCCTGATGGGATATCCTTTGAAAGTAACTTGACATTTTTTCGCTATAGGGCGCATGCACTCACCAGACAGACAGAGAGAGACATAGAGACAGAAAGCGAGAAATCACCCCCCAGGGGGGATGGTCACGCCGCAATCCCTTCTCCTCCATTCTCCCCTCGGGATCTTGGGCATGCACGCACACGCGCCCTGCGTGAGTTTTAAGCCACTGGGTCCGGAATGCGAACCGCGGTCAACTACGTGGGAATCCAGCGACATAGCCATTATGCTAACTGCTGGTTCCCACTTGACGTTTTTTTCTTGCCTATTTTAGTATCTTATCTCTGTCTGTGGTTTTGGTCAATCTGACTATGAGTGCCTTGGAGAAGATCTTTTTGGCTTGATTCTATGTAGGGTCCTTTGTATTTCTTGGGTCTGGATATTTGAATACCTCTCTAGATTTAAGAGTTTTCTTCCAGGATTTTCATGGACAGATTATCAATCCCTGATTGATTTCTTCACTTTCTGGGATACTGATTATCTGCATGTTTGGGTGTCTAATGGTATCTAGTATTAATCGTATATTATTCTCATTTTGGGGAGTTATTTTCTCTGTCTTTTTGGTAACTTTTTCTAGGTCAGAGATTCTGTCTTCTAAATCTGAGATTCCGTCTTCTGTATAATCTAATCTGCTTTTAATACTTTCAAGGGAGGTTTTTGTTTGTTTGTTTGTTTGTTTAAGAGAGGTTTTTGCCATAGGGCGCATGTGCTCACCAGAAAGAGAGAGAGAGACAGAGAGACAGAAAGCGAGAAATCACCCCCCAGGGGGGATGGCCACGCCGCAATCCCCTTTCCTCCAATCTCCTCTCCGGATCCTGGGCACGCACGCACATGTGCCTGGTGTGAGTTTTAAGTCACTGGGTCTGGGACGCTAACCGTGGGAGGGAGGTTTTGATTTCCTGTATTGTAGCCTTCATCCTTAATAGTTCCATTTGATTCTTTTTTTTTTTTTTTGCACATTTTTATTTATTTATTTTTTATCATCATATCTTCTTCATATTACATTGGATTACATATAACTTTACTGTGTATTACATTGTTTCTTCAAAAGGGAATGCCATGCACGTCAGTCAGTACAGAGACATTAATCTCCCCACTTCAACATTCCATATCTTTTCTGTTTTCCCCAATCATTATCTTTATTATTCTAATTATTTTTATAAAACAGTCAATTGCTATTTCTCGTTTTGCTTGTAAAAATACTTTGCCCATCATGAAACACTTCTCAGACCAATCCAGTTGAGAATTCTATACATGTCATCATCAACAGTTAATAAACCCTATCTGTTTCTCACTGACGTCCTGTCTCTCTATTGCTCACTTGCTATCTTTCTCTATCCTCTTCTCTTCACTTACCCCATTCCACACTGTCCTATTCTCATTAAGTACCTTCACTTCAAGAATGGTAGAGTAGTTCCTGTTCTTCCCTGAGGCAATGCAGGGCTGGTAACCATCATCTTCTCAAGTTGCAAGTTCTCAGACCTTGTTTTCCGCTTCAGCTTGCTGGTCCAAAGGCCACACGCCGGCCCTGGAGAGGCAGCTGAAC